CAAAGAGCCAAGTGGAGATTGATCATTTGAAGGCTCAGTTGAATCAAGAGTTTGAAATGAAAGTCTTGAGGGAAGCTAAAAAAATACTCGGGATGGAGATAAGCAGGGACAGAATGAGAGGCAAGCTTTGTTTGATTCAGAAGCAATATCTGAATAAGGTACTGCAGCGTTTCAACATAAAAGATGACACGAAGCCTGTAAATACACCACTTCCCCCTCATATTAAGTTAAGTGCCCAATTATCGCCAAATTGTGATGAAGAACGATAGTACATGGCTAGAGTCCCATATGCAAATAGAGTTGGCAGTTTGATGCATGCGATGGTGTGTACGAGGCCCGACATTTCACAGGCAGTTGATGTTGTTAGCAGGTATATGCATGACCCTGGTAAAGGTCATTGGCAAGCTGTGAAATGGATTCTACGGTACATTCATAATACTGTAGACGTTGGATTAGTTTATGAGCAGAATGAATTTGGTCAGTGTGTAGTTGGATATTGTGATTCTGACTACGTGGGTGATTTAAATAAGCGAAGATCAACGACTGGATATTTATTCACTTTTGCAAAAGCTCTAGTCAGTTTAAAGTCTACCTTACAGTCAACAGTTGTTTTGTCTACAACAGAGGCAGAGTATATGGTGGTTACTGAAGCTTTGAAGGAGGCTATTTGGCTTCAAAGTTTGCTGGAAGACTTGAGAGTTGGTCAAAAGCACGTCTTAGTGCATTCTGACAGTCAGAGCGCTATTCACTTAGTGAAAAATCAAGTATATTATGCAAGAACGAAATATATTGATGTTCGCTATCACTTTGTGCGGAAGATTCTAGAAGATGGAACCGTTGTGTTGAAGAAAATAAAGACGTCGGAGAATCCTGCAGATATGATGACCAAGGTAGTGACAGCAGTCAAGTTTAAACATTGTTTAGACTTGACAAACATTCTGCATATTTGAGTTGGCGCCAAGAGGCGCATTTGGAGGCACCGCCAACTGTTGATTTGGATTGAAGAGTCGAAGTGGGAGCAAAATTAGTCAAGGTAGAGAATTGTTAGATATTGATTTCATGTCCCACATCGGATATGTACCAAAAATGTGTAGGATCTTTTTAGTATAAATAGGTCCCTTTGGATTACAACTGCACCTTATTATCTTCTCTCCTATCTTATAAAAAAATCCTTAATTAAGGAAATCCTAATTTGTGGGTAATTTAACCCTAGTTGTATTTTGTGGGGAGTTCAGTAAATTTGACGTTGCGGTTGGCGGTGCCTGGAGACGTAGGCAATATTGGCCGAACACCGTTATCAATTTTTGTGTCCTTTTTATTTCTCGTCTTTTATTTATTTGTGTTGGCTAATTTTCGTTTGGAGTAGGGGCGAAACTACATGTTGATCTAGGCCCCCTCAAATTTTATTTTTTTTACTATTATACTTAAAATTTTAATTTGTCCCTCTCTTAAATATTTTTTTGCACCCCCAAATTTTTTGTCATGTCTTTTGCCCCATCTCAATTAATTTCTTAGCTTCGCCCCTGATTTGGAGTAGTGCTTGTCATATTTGTTGTAGGGGTAGTTTTGTCCGCTGCGCTTGATGTTCTACCCACAGTTGCTTTATTATTCCGACGTGGCCTATACATTGCAACTTGTTCTTGCGCGAGTCGTTGTATGTTCCCCATAACCGCCTCTACATTCAGATCCTGCTCGTTGTCCTCATCAGAAGTCAACTCCAGACGATCCTTCTTACAGGCATAAACATACCTACTGAAGTCCACTCATCGCCTTTCTCTAGAGTTTTTTAAACCCAACGAAGACTCGCAACTCGCTCCATCTCCACCATGTACGCGGTTTTGGCGGTCTCTGCCCCCTCGCCGATTTTTATTCGCTTCTCCTGGCCTTGTTTGTACCATTCAGCAAGGTCAATTTCTTTACCCTATATAAAGCTGACCTCTTTTCCTTGCGCCATGTCGGTGGCCGAACCTTCCTCAAAATGCTTAGACCCCTCTCGGCGATCGTTTCCGTCTTAACCTTCTTCCGAACATATATCAAAATTTAAAAGAGTACTCATGTATGTACGAGTCATAACAACTCGGTAGAATGAACTCTCTTTTAACAAATACAACAAATTAAGAAATGCCATAAAAAAAGTCTTGATGTGGAGGTCAACTGTTCCCCCAACATAGGCGGAAGAGCCGCGTCCTGCAGCTCTGCCGGCGGCTCCATGATAAATTTGTATTATCGGTAAATTGATTAGGTATATTTGGTGGATTAAGATAAGAAAGAAGCTAGTGATTTGAAAGTCCAATTGTTACTCCCAAAACTATTGTCCAAATATTAATTATTATTAAGGAGCAACCATAGGAAACCTTGGATTATAATATGACTGTTTCAATATTTATGTTCAACAAAATTTGTTGAAAGAAGATGAATACTATATAACGATTGGGTTTCAATATTTTTTCGGAGATTTGATGAAAAACTATATTTGCCCTCGTTGTTCTTTTATTTATTTTTTATTCTTTTAAGGTCAACTACGTATTCCCTTTTTTTGTTACTAAATATAATTTCAAAGCTACTCTAAAATTTAATTGGGATCATGGACCTGCTGGAGTTGGACCATGCACGTGACTAAACCACCAATTAATGCATTGTAAACATATTTTATCCGTATCTAAAAGTAAATTAGGATAAACACAGATATCTAGATCGAAGACAAGTTACCGAGTCCTTTAGAATTATGGAAATGTGAAGTGAATTCAGAAATTTGGTAATTTCAGATGCTGAACATTTTTTTTCTAATAAATTCGACAAATTTATACATCTAATAAAGTGTAATTTCAGATGCTGAACATTTTTTTTTCTAATAAATTCGACAAATTTATACATCTAATAAAGTTTTTATACAGATGGATACCCGTTATATTTTCTTGTACATAGATACGTCCTTAATACACTACACGTGGGACATTAATTAAATAAAAACCAACATATTTATTTTAAGGGTTAATTGTAATTAAAAATCAACCTTTATTAAAATTGCAAATAAAACTCCACTTTTTCAATTTGGCATAAAAATACCTGACCTTTCTAAAATTTTACAATTGTGTCTCGACAAAAGATTCCGGTGAATCGATGCTGAAGTGGCATATCGAAAATCTGACATGGAAACAAAATATTGACGTGGCATAAAAAAAATATTACACTCGGTGACACTTCATTGTACACGTAAGAGTCCAAGTCAAAGCCTATTAACAGATAATACTCTCAATCTCAGGCCCGATGAATCAGAAAAAAAGGAACAGAAAACTTCGCCGCGAGCAAAACAGAAAACTTCGCCTCGCGCGATTCTGCTCGGCATTTTCTCGCGATTTTCTCCAAAAATCTGCCGCTCCCTTCCTTCTTCATCCAAAAAATCGAGTTCACTACCGCGAATTTTGTTATAAGCCAATTGGCCATACACAAATTGTGTATTCGGAGGATCTGTGGCTGCGAAAATCCTATTTGATGAATTTTTCTGTTGCTTATTGTGGCTTCTATTTTCTCATGTATATCTTCGTTGATGACGAAAACGAAAGGACATGCTTGTTCTTTTTTTTTTCTTTTANTACACTATTTTAAGAATGTTGAGTAATATTATAAATAGGTATTGTGTTACATTCATAATTTTTGAAATTATATGTTAATTTTTATATATATTACAACAAATACAGGCAAGAATTTAAAAAATTGCCATATTCCAATGGAAAATGTTACTCCAATATATTCCAATGAAAATTCCTACAAATCTTTTAATGGTATAACTTCCGTTGCAATGATTCCAGCGAAAATATTCTACTCTAATTATGCGTTTTCCATTGAAATTTTAGATGGAATAAGATGATTCCAACGCTATTTTTCAAATGATTTTTTACTGTTGAAATATTTATTTTTACTCATATTTCAACCGTTGGAATAAGCTAAATTCAATGAAAATTTCAATAAAAAACTCTTATAACGAAATATTTTGTTTGATTTTCTGCGGGACTTTATTAAAAAAATTTCAACGAAAATAATAGCATTAAAATATCCATCGAAATTGTCATTAAAATTTCATTTAAGTACATTTTGTTGGAATTTCATCATTTTTTTTTTATTTTTTTTTTTAGTGAGAAGAATTTTTTAAATCTCTTTATGTTGTACTTAAAAGGAGGGAGTATTAATTAAGGTATTAATTAAGGTACTCTGCCCATAGAAAAAAAAACCCTAGCTTGTGTTTATAATTCTTTTGCCAGGGTAACTCCAACAATCAAGTAATTTCACTAGCTCTTATGATTAATTAGATAAAATGAATATTCATCAAATTAATTATGAAAAAGGTGTACGAGGACAATACTTTTATAATTTTTGATGAGAAAGAGTGGAAAATGGAAAGAGTGCAGGTCTTCTAGTTGACTATTTCCAGATCTGATCCCAAGAGCTCCTCAGTATATTGGATTTCGTAAGTGCACATATAACATAGTATTATAAATGGAGTACAATGAATCTTCTCCTTCAGTAGAGTTACATTTATTATTTCTTCTTATAAAATTTTTTGGGATACAATATTACCATCACTACCCTTGATTCGATTTCAGAGTGCTCATAATTAATTATTCAAAGTTTGATACCCTTCGTGAAAAATGATGGTGAATAAACTATACATTCTGTCCTCGTTGAACTCGGACCGATATACACTCAAGATTTAGGTCATTAATGACATTTCACAACGACCAGAGAAAATATCAAGATTCAAGAGCTTCTTACCTAAGCCTCTGGTTGATCAAACAGGGGATATAATTAAAAATGATGAGAGGGTAATAGAAGTCAAGAATTAGACGCGTCCCTTAATTGCTTCCCTAATCACACTTTTAATCTACTAATTGTACTTATTGACTGCTACTACTGCTCCTACCTAGTAGTTAGTATAATTTAACTCGTTAATTTCGGACCAGGAAAATTGACTTTGGTGCCTCATGAAAAGTTGCACCCGTCCCAAGAGAGAGAAATAAGTAGTACTTAAATAATTATCAAAATACACATTCTTGAAAACTATTTCAATGAAAAGAAAACTACAACAAGGGAACTAATTAAGAAACAAAGGTTGAGACAAATGGAGATCGATCTCTCCCTCAAGCTCGATGCAAAAGAACGTTCAAACAAACTCGAAGACACGTTTTTATCTCTCGAATCAAAGGTGCAAGAAGATGATGAAAATACTCTTACTTCTGAAAAAGAGTCTTGCAAGAGTTTCACGAAAGAAGAGGTACTTAAAAGTTCAATTTACTATCAAACTTATGTTTGTTTGCAATTTTTTCTTTTTTCTCTTTTTTTTTTTTTTTTTTTTGG